GAGAGAGAGAGATGAGAGAGAGAGAGAGAGAGAGAGAGAGGTGTATTTCCATGTTGTTGTTTAAGATTCACTACCTGGAACAAAAAGTTCCAAGTAGCACGGGCTATGGTGAGCCCGTAGTAAGAAATATCTACTGTATATCCAGCTCCTGGGTGTATATACACTGTGAACTCTTGGCTGGCTTCTATGGTACTAAAGCGGCCTGAATAACCCCTCAAGAGAACAAATCCACAAGGGCCGTGACGAGGATTCGAACCTACATTCGAGAGCATCCCAGACGCTGTCTTAACCCCTTCAAGAGGTTGATATACCTCAAGCACAATACCAAAGCAACTACTTAACTACCCTAAGTACCCACCACTACACCCTGAGTACCCACCACTACACCCTAAGTACCCACCACTACACCCTAAGTACCCACCACTACACCCTGAGTACCCACCACTACACCCTGAGTACCCACCACTACACCCTAAGTACCCACCACTACACCCTGAGTACCCACCACTACACCCTAAGTACCCACCACTACACCCTAAGTACCCACCACTACACCCTGAGTACCCACCACTACACCCTGAGTACCCACCACTACACCCTAAGTACCCACCACTACACCCTGAGTACCCACCACTACACCCTAAGTACCCACCACTACACCCTGAGTACCCACCACTACACCCTGAGTACCCACCACTACACCCTAAGTACCCACCACTACACCCTAAGTACCCACCACTACACCCTGAGTACCCACCACTACACCCTAAGTATCCACCACTACACCCTAAGTACCCACCACTACACCCTGAGTACCCACCACTACACCCTAAGTACCCACCACTACACCCTAAGTACCCACCACTACACCCTGAGTACCCACCACTACACCCTGAGTACCCACCACTACACCCTGAGTACCCACCACTACACCCTAAGTACCCACCACTACACCCTGAGTACCCACCACTACACCCTGAGTACCCACCACTACACCCTAAGTACCCACCACTACACCCTAAGTACCCACCACTACACCCTAAGTACCCACCACTACACCCTGAGTACCCACCACTACACCCTGAGTACCCACCACTACACCCTAAGTACCCACCACTACACCCTAAGTACCCACCACTACACCCTAAGTACCCACCACTACACCCTAAGTACCCACCACTACACCCTAAGTACCCACCACTACACCCTGAGTACCCACCACTACACCCTAAGTACCCACCACTACACCCTAAGTACCCACCACTACACCCTAAGTACCCACCACTACACCCTAAGTACCCACCACTACACCCTAAGTACCCACCACTACACCCTAAGTACCCACCACTACACCCTAAGTACCCACCACTACACCCTGAGTACCCACCACTACACCCTAAGTACCCACCACTACACCCTAAGTACCCACCACTACACCCTAAGTACCCACCACTACACCCTAAGTACCCACCACTACACCCTAAGTACCCACCACTACACCCTAAGTACCCACCACTACACCCTGAGTACCCACCGCTACACCCTAAGTACCCACCACTACACCCAACACACACACACAGCCTCGACCTGTAGGTCATGCCCATCATACCCACGTCCATGCTCGCCAAACCCATGACATGAATTAAACATGTAATCGCCGCCAGCTCTGCTATCCACCAGCCTGCCAAGCTTACTAATAACACCACCGTTTGTTGTTCTTTTAGATTTACCTACTCGGAACGACACGTCCATGTAGCACGGGCTATGGCGAGCCCGTAAACATATCCACCTTAGGTCAGTGACTCTTAAAGAGTGGTATGGAACACTTGTCTGCTTATTCCTTATATACCTTTACGCTTCGTTAGGGAGGGCTTTCGCTAGGAATTTTTGCATAAACTCGAAGCGGGAAGCTGCGCACTAGCAGCCCTTAAGACCCTCTCAAGGTAAACGACCTGTCAGGGGCTTGTTTCAAGTTCATCCTCTGATTTATATTACATATTTTAAACAACATTTATTTTCATGCATTTCGTCATAGCCTATTTCATATCATTCTGTTAGTGGATTAAAACGACGTAAGTTCAGCGGACACAGGTCTGATAACCCTCGCTATTTAGCATGAGTGATAGTATGGCCACCTCACTTGTGAGAGATATTAAGAACAACAACGTAATACTGAGAGCCTTGGCCAGAAACACGAATACAGGGTAATATGTGTAGCAAGGCGTCGTGCAGGCCGCCCGCTCCACACACTACCACCATCACCTACGTCTTGGAAGAGAAGTAGATGAGGTCAACGAAGCTGGAGTATCGGAAGGCGTTGACTTCCTTGATGCTCTTCCTGACGCTCTTATTGCGGGCGACGACGGCGGCGCGAGTGCCTGCCGGACCGCCATAGCGTGATCCACTCCTCCTGAGTGCCATGGTGCTAGCCGATTAGCGGCTTCTACACTATCATACCCACCCACATCACTGTCCATCCTCGAGTAAGGCACTACACACGTTTCTCCCTCGCGACTCTCATATCTGTAGCGGCACTTGTCTACTAGGAACGGATCCGTATCCTAGTAGCAGAGGGCACTAACCAATATGTGCTCCATCGACGCTAGGAACGGTAAGTACCTTAGCATATGGAAGAGTCCAGTACGTACTCCGTGAACACAAAGAATGGTCCGTATCCTAGCACGGGAAGAGGGTAGGGTCAGTACGTGCCTCTTCAACGCACGCAACGCACAAGAAGGGAGCAGGGCCCCATCAACGCAAGGACCGGTCCATATCCTAGCACGGGAGGTAGGTGAGGCAGGGGAAGGGGTGAGGGGGGTATTAGAAAGGAAGGTCCAGTAGACGCCTCGTCAACACAAGGAAGGGTCCGTATCCTGACGCACGAGAGAGGGTATAGAGCCCAGTACGCGCCCCGTCAACTTGCAAGTCACACTAAGACGCCCGAGAGCTGATCCTCACAATCAGAGTAACTCTTGGCCCCGCCACCGCCGTGCTATTGGCTACACTATCTCCCCCACCACCACCACCTCCTCGCCCCCTCTCCCGCTCACCCAAAAAACAAACCCACTCCTGTTGCTTACACCCCCACCTCAACACACCACTACAACTCTCCTCGGGTTCCTAGACACGAAGAACGCCACATACCCACACGTGGAGCCCCAAGACGGGGGCCCAGACGGCAATATGGAGTGCCGATACAAAAAATGCAGATGACGCCAGTACCAGTGGGTCGGGCTAGCCTTGGCGCCTCCAGAGGGGTCATTACGCGCAGCCTGTTGCATAAGCCGCCATATAAAGAACACCTAACTACATACGGCCCTGGTGACGTATGGCAGGAACATCAACCTGCAGCTGCTAACAAACCAAATAGGTCCCTACTACTCACCCAACATGATATAAACACTTTCCCATCCAGCATTAATAACTTTGTGGGTCTTAGCATCCGCCCTAATCATGTTACCGACTCCACTCTACGATCTATATATTTTCGTATTTTCTATTTACAGAAAATAGCGTTTTTTTAACAAGAACTTTACGGCTACACCCATTAATCTTACCCTGATGAAGTAACAATAGTTTAACGCAAGACTTAAGCTAGTACAAGCAAAGATTCTGTCTAGGAATTAACCAAGACTAAACATGTCGCTCGCTCGCATCTCCCACAGTACCTGCTCCAACACTATTAATGCACATAAACGCACCAACACATACACGGGCAGGGCATCCTAACGACTTAAAGATTCTAAGGAGAATCGACAAAGAAGATTCTAAGGAGAATCGACAAAGAAGATTCTAAGGAGAATCGACAAAGAAGATTCTAAGGAGAATCGACAAAGAAGATTCTAAGGAGAATCGACAAAGAAGATTCTAAGGAGAATCGACAAAGAAGATTCTAAGGAGAATCGACAAAGAAGATTCTAAGGAGAATCGACAAAGAAGATTCTAAGGAGAATCGACAAAGAAGATTCTAAGGAGAATCGACAAAGAAGATTCTAAGGAGAATCGACAAAGAAGATTCTAAGGAGAATCGACAAAGAAGATTCTAAGGAGAATCGACAAAGAAGATTCTAAGGAGAATCGACAAAGAAGATTCTAAGGAGAATCGTAAATTGAAAAAAAACACCGTTGTGCAGGATCCTCAACTCTATGCCCATAAAAAAATGAAAGGAAAGTGCTAGGCCTAGCACCGTCTACGTTAAACCGGTCGCTTAAGAAATGACAAAAGTGAAATTTGATCGAACTGAAAATGCGGCAGAATGTGTGTGAAATTCGCGCGTTAGAAAAGCAGTAAAGCGACGAGCTACGGCGAGGGTCATATGAAGAGGCTACAAGGGTTCACGGCCCATTGTGGATTTATTCATTTGATATATACGCTATGTGTGTACTACAAGGGTTGTTTACCTTGCATTGGTTCAGAGGTTCAGCAGCCCCGT